GTATTTGTGTAGTAATAGTATGTATATATTGATACATGCATTTATATGTTCTTTTTAATTTCATCAGTTAAGTATTTATCATTTTCTTGTTGATTTTATAAGCTCTTGTTCTTAATGTTTATATTTCATAAATTATTATGTTATTTTTTCTTTTTGGCCACAGGGAGTGGGAATATGTACAAGTTATTTTTTAAAACTCGTTTTGTACAGTAATTTATATTAACATGTATGTTGTGTATTCTTACCCTGGTTAATTGAATGTGTATCATATGATTTAATATTTCTTTATTCATTTATTGTTTAGATCTATTCTTTATTTCTTGTTTTTTCATTGAAATTTTTAGCAGTTTCATGTAATGTATATGATAAGAAATAAAGTAATTATAACCTTTATCTGGTTCTTTTCCATAATTTCAATACTGAATCATGCAAATAAGCACAGTAATATACAATATGTTTTATCCATTGTGTTTATGCAAGGATACCCAAGTGATGAAATGATGCTACATTATGTGCCTATGGAATTCCATACCACTTTTAGTGAATAACTTGGGGGAGGATGCTCCGAGAAATTGATTGTTTGAGACATTTCTGCAGGGAACAATCAAGAATGGGCTACGTGCGCGATATCCAGAGATTGGCCTAGGTATGGGAGAGTGGTAATTCCCTGACCTTTGTGCCATTGTTTTGTGACTTGGGCTGAATGAGCCCAATCTTGCATGAAAATGGTGGCAAGCTGGTCATTGGTAAGTGAATAGTAGGCCTTGCTTGATAACTGTGAAGTATTGAATAGGAGTGACCATCAGCTGCTGTTATCTAGCTCCCCAAACGGCATCCTCACCCTAAAAAATCTGCCATATTTTGTCCTGGCTTGCAGATGATTCGATGAAAGTATCTGGAAGGAAAGTGACCAAACCTAGGTGTGCTCACTACCAAAGAATTGTGTAAATCTGAACTTGATAAACTTACTGTTTCCCAAAAAGTGGAAGGGTGTGACAACATCTGCGAAAGCCAGAGCATTCAATGTATGAAGTGTGAAGTGCCATCGTAGCACATGCTGTGAAACTAAGTGCTGTAACATTAGTACCAATCCTCCACACCAGGAAGAGTCGGTTTTTGAGTCCCTGGACCATGTAAAATCTGTTGTTTTCCAACTGCTCTGTCACCATATTTACTATGGACAGTAGTATTACAAGTGACTTCACGATTTTTTCCTCCCGTTGTTCAACCATGAAAATGCGGTTAATTTCCGAAACCCTGTGGTTGGTGGCGTGACTGTTTGCATTGTTTGGTTTTTAGTGAGCTATTCCTGTATTTATGCATTAGGGTTATTGCATACAGCGTCATGAAGGTGTTCGATTTACGTATTGTTAGGTTGTGTGGTGTCCATAGAAGTTAGTTTGTTTGAGGCTGTAAATTAAAAAAATTAGCTAAAGAAGTCATTATGCATACAAGATTAAACACTACAGGAAAGATAATCTTTATATATATATATATATATATATATATACACACATACAGCAATGGAAACACAAGGGATACACATACAGGAGTCACAAACAATAAATAGTGGTAATTATATGGTGAATTTATTAATAGCATGAAACATTTTCACACAGAATACAAATAAAATTAATAAGTCGTACAGTACACTGTTATTTTATATATAAAGCCTTTCTTTACAGAGTATTACATTATTGCGTAAGCGAGGTCACGTGACTAGTGTCACGCCACCTGCTTTCTAGAACTATCCCGTTCCTTCGGGAGTGCTCTAGCATTTACTAGATATATGTTTGTCTGGTATATATATAAGACGCTCACAACTGTATCGTAAAGTTATATTCAGAAAGAATAAACCAGTTTTATTAAGTAAGGACTTGTGTCGCTAAAGTTTCGTCGGAACGACGTTACGGAAAATTAATTAACAAACGGAGACGTAACAACATCTTGTTTTCATGCTGCCATACATTTATCAATGTACGCTTGTGGATAACACAGGCCTGAGAATGTAAGCTTCACAAAAGTTGTTTTGCTTTTAATAACGGATTTTCCGTAATTCAGCTACGCAGATTTAGAAAATAATATATATTTTTTTCTTCTATCACGTAAGGATTTTTTACAAATCGGGAAGAAAAAAATCTTTCTTAGATCAAATTATTATTTCGTTTATCACAATGGACATATTTTATTATTATGTTTGTTAACAAAAATACAAACAATCTGAAGAAAAGGGAAGAACATTGATGTAAACCGAATATGCATCCTCATTCATCCTGATATTTTTTTGTGAAATCTACGTCTTTTAATCTCAAAACTATGTGTTGTGGTCTTTATTTTATGTATTGCGGTATGATGTTCTGTGAAAAAATTTATAATATTTCGGATTCAACATACAGGAATTACCGTAGAACATGAAAAGATTTCAAGACAATAAAACCATCGCAGGCCTGTATTATTATTATTCTGAATATCTCGTATTACTCCTCACAATTCAGTCAAGTTGTTTGGTCTCCTTTTGACTTTCTCAGTTTTAATGTCAGCCTCGGGAATATTCATATCGGGACCTTGTACAAGATTATCCAAGGTTTTGAGTGTTCCATGGGCCTGTTTACCATTAAGACAGTTCCACCACATTTTCTGTATAGTATGATAATTGTACTGCTGGAAAATGAAACCTCTCCGAGAGTAGAGTTATTTTCGGAATAGCGTGATGGATCAATCTGTGCTAAGATTTGTAGTATTCAGGATGCCATCAATCTTTATGCGGCCCGGCATGGCCAGGTGGTTAGGGCGGTCGACTCGTAATCTGCAGGTTCGAATCCCCGTCACACCAAACATGCTCTCCCTTTCAGCCGTGGGGGCGTTATAATGTGACGGTCAATCGCACTATTCGTTGGTAAAAGAGTAGCCCAAGAGTTGGCGGTGGGTGGTGATGACTAGCTGCCTTCTCTCTAGTCTTACACTGCTAAATTAGGGACGGCTAGCGCAGATAGCCCTCGTGTAGCTTTGCGCGAAATTCAAAGCAAACAAACAAACAATCTTTATGTACCAACGCCGTTGGATGAAATATAGGCCTAAACTTGTATTGAACCGACATGCTTCACTTTAGATATTTTACATTAACTATGATACTGTTCTCTTGTCCACAATCAATCAAATTGTTGTTGAACAATTCAAATTTATTTATAAAGAACAAACATATCCACATTTACTCATTCCACTGTTTAGGGCCCGATACGGTAATAACCATTTCAAATGTTTAACCTCGTTACCACTTGTCGACAGCGATTCATTCAAATGACGTTCATTCAAATCACTGTGTGCTGATGTGTAACATTCACACATTTATTCACAGAAAGATAGTTGGCAAAATAGACTGAGATACTAAACATTACTATTGGAGAATTTCTGTTTTCTACCTCGACAACTTCTGTTTGTTTAATGTTTTGGGTAGTCATCATTTAACTGGTTTTTAATAATAATCTATAAGGAATCACGAAATGCTAAACATAATAACGTGTTTTATAATTTTTTCAAGAACTTAAGTTGAAATCCACGCGTTTTCATTTCATAATTATACTTTGTCTACGAGTTTGAACACAAACGCATTTCACATTTACACAAAACCTTTAGTTCAAGTTACATCTCGTTCGCCCCCCAGTGGCACAGCGCTATGTCTGCGGACTTACAACGTTAGAAACCGAGTTTCGATACCCGTGGTGGGCAGACCACAGATAGTCAATTGTGTAGCTTTGTGCTTAACTTCAAACAAACAAACAAAATACATCTCGTTCACATAAAACGTTTAGTTCAACTGTTGAAGTTGAGTGTATCGGTAAAGTTATATTCGGAAAGAATAAACCAGTTTTATTAAGAAAGGACTTGTGTCGCTTAAGTTTCGTCGGAACGAAGTTACGGAAAATCAATTAACAAACGGAGACGTAACATTATATTAGATTTGACGTCTCGTATTACACCGCAGAGTATATAAACTTTCATTGAATAATTCTTTTTTAAGCTGATATCTTGATGATTCAGCGGTAAAGTCTACGGGCTTTCAACGTTAAAAAATTGGGATTTCGACTTCATAGTAGGCACAACACAACTAACCTATTGCGAAGCTTTGGGCTTAATAACAAACAAACAAAAATTAACGACCTTTTAAAGCTCGGTCACTATTAATTATACACAAAACAAAGTTGCTTTATAAAATAATTATGAGTAATAACTCGCATTCGATAAATGATTTAGGTGTGCTTAAGCAGTTACTGTCACAATATTCGATACGTAACGAGATTAAAATCAGTAAGTTACTACACCTTAATCTACTTAACGTCTTTTGCAATGGTGCTATGCTGTTGTAGTTTAATTATATTTCATAGTTTACATTTTCTAGGAAAAATAAACAATAAATAATTTAATTTCATAATAAGTGATAAATATAGGTTTTCAAGAAGTTTCAACATTCGTACCTGAAATTTCCTGTATTTTCTTTTTCAGGACAGATACAGAAAAACCAAACCAGGATAAAAGCAAACACGAAAGATGTTACGATGGTGAAATTACAAAATGTGCAAGTTGAAAGTGAACCCCACTCGGTGAACACTGTTTGGTCAGAAAGAAAATTTTGTTCTTCAAAATAAAAGCTATTACTCGAATTTTTTACTTTAAAGATAACTAAGTTCGCATACAAAGGGCAGTTTCCCATAAAGTCTTTTTCAACATTCGAAAAACTTAGAACAGCTAAAAGAGACACGACCATAGCCAATAAATATAATATGGAATGAATTAATTTCCATTTACAACATCGTAAAAACATGTTAGCTGTGTTTGTTCTCAACAGGTATCTAACGTATTAAACGATCGCTACAAACGTAATATTGGAAATAACAAATGTACTTCTTTACTTTTCTAGGAAATATGTTATACACCCACTTATGTTTATAGCGGCATCTATTGATTAACTTCGAAATAACTTTTCAGAGATTATTTGAGCAACATATAGAAAATGTGTTGTGACTGTAGTTTATTTTTATTGATAAGAAATGTTTAAAATTATAGAGTAAAACTTTATTCTAAGGTATGTAAATATTTCTGAAGAAGAGTCCGAGAAAAGAGGAGAATACATAAAAACAGAGGAATTGGACATATTATCTCGTCGAAACGAGACATAATCGGCAATACGGAAATACGTAGAGGCGTGTGGTTTATGAGGTTTCTGTGGTGAATTGTGTGTATAAGAATGTGATTTGTTTATGAGATCTGTAACCGGAAAGAATATGAGCTTTTAGTAACTAAGCTAACTTTTAAATATATATGTTTCTATTCGGTTGTTCTCATGTGTAAATTTGAGCGAATAGTTGAGCCTCGGTTGTGTTTACTTAGGACGAAATCAAGGTGTTTGTAGCCTAAGGCATTTAAAAACCAGCTTCTAAGTACGTGGCGGAGGGTTAGAGGAATGAACCCACTAAGCCTAACGGAGGGACAGCAACCATCCTGGCGACTGTGGGGAGAGGAAAAGACAGAGCAAGCAGTTTACAGTATTTATCTCAAGAAAGTTCGATATCATCCAGGTTTAACAGATGACACTAACCCAGAAACTGATGAAACAATCGCTCATCTTGAATGGGAAACAATCCAGGTTCGTTTGATTAAAGCAGGGACATTGAAGAAACTAGTTGAAAGTTTAGCTACGGAATCTGGTGAGCTTGAATCAACTTATGTAAATATTTTCCTAGCAACATATCGGTCATTTGCTAATACTCGACAAGTACTAACCTTACTTCTTGAAAGATATTGGCAGCTCACTAAAAATGAGGTAACTATGAAGGACGATATTCGTGATTTGCATTGCAGAACAATCATTCACGTTTTACACGTGTGGTTAGATACATATCCGGAAGATTTCAACGAACCTCCAGAGTTTTATACCCTACAGCAGCTTCTTGAGTTTGGAATGTCTGTTAATCCCGAAGGAGCTCTTCATTGCCATTCCTTAGAAAAACTAAAGAAATACAAAAATCAGGAGGAACAGAAAGATAATGAACTTCTTAATCATTGGTGTAGCTTACTTGGCAAGCAACATATCGGCTGTGAATCTGTGTTGCCATATAACTTTTTGGAGATTCCTGAAGATCATTTTGCTTCTCAGTTGACCTGGATGGATGCGACACTTTTCAAGAAGTTGATTTCCTACCAGTGCCTTGGGTCGGTGTGGTCACGCCGTGATAGAGATTCAGAGTGTGAAGTTATTCCTTCTACCGTCATGGCAACTGTGAATCAGTTTAATGCTGTTCTGTTGCGTGTATTAACAACAGTCTTACGTGACCCAGACATGAAGTTAGGGGAACGAGGGAAAATTGTGTCAAAATGGATTGAAGTTGCACAGGAGTTGCGTTTTCTTAAAAATTTTTCTTCCCTCAAAGCAATTATATCAGCCCTTCAAAGCAATGCTGTTCATCGGTTAAAGAAAGTTTGGTTATCTATACCGAGAGAAAAGTTTGAATTATTTACAGAGTTAGCAAGAATATTCTCAGAAGAAAACAATTATAACACTTGTCGAAACCTTTTACAGAGAGAGGGTTCTGCCAAGTTTGTTTCTGCTGTTGGGCAAGAAGACCATCAACTCCAGAAAGCTTTGCAGAAACAAATGTTGTCCGGTAGTTGTGGACCCATGCAGGGGACCATCCCGTACCTTGGAACTTTTCTCACAGATCTTACTATGATTGACAGTGCTATTCCTGACACCACTGCTGAAGGCCTGATCAACTTCGACAAACACCGTAAAGAGTTTGAGGTTTTAGCACATATCCGATTATTGCAAAGTGCTGCCAATAACTATAATATTGTGCCCGATGTTCGCTTCTTTGCCTGGTTTGATTCAGTGCCTGTGATTAATGAAAACAGTTCGTATGAGTTATCTTGCATCATTGAACCCCGTTACGCTCACAGTGGATCTGAAAAAAAGTTCTTCTTGAAAAACACAAGAACTCGCAATTCACCATGTCATAAGAAGACCCATTCAACTTCATCAACATCAACTTCATCATCAAACAGTGTCTTCTATGACCAGAGTGCCAGTGATGTCAGCATGGTAAGTTTGTGTTTAGCAGACAGCAAAGTGTGCTTGTCATGTTCTAGCTTATCATTACCTTCTCTGACCCAGTCAAACTCTCCAGGGTCATTAACAGAGTTATCAACAGCTGGATCACTGAGCCCGAAGTCCACAGAATTTTACATAATCCGTGTGAGCCTGAGCCAGCCAGGTAAAACTGAGGAAGAAGGCATCAATGTGTACAAGAGTATAATGTTAAGCAACCAAGATCACACGAAAGAAGTCATACAGAATGCCATGATCAAGCATGGAATATCAGGCTCATCAGATGACTACAGTCTTGCTCAGCTTCTTCCGGATGGTGAGATTGTTTTTCCTCATTCAGCAAACGTGTTCTACGCTGTGAATACGCAGTACGACTTGAACTTTATTCTCCGACCTAAGGTCAATCCAGAATTTTCTTCTAACACTTTAAAGAAAAAATCTAAAAAGGGAATGCAAAAATTTCGTTCATTTGTTGATAGTGTTGCAAGCCATGTATAACTTAACAGCCTTTGTTTGTTTGTACTGAGATTCATGGATAAAGTGACATAGGGGCATCTAGATATTAGAACCTTCATAGTACGAAACCGAAGTAGGTACCATCACACAGTCTATGTATATTGTCATTATTTCTAGGAGCAAATTTTTTGTTGCAAGATTATTTAAAGCTGTTATCTTTAGTTTTAAAAATATGAGGTTTCTTTTGTTTACCCAGCTTTCTTTGGCACAAAATATATTAAAAAAATAATGTCTGAAGTTTGTACTGAAGTAGGAGGAATCGAGTGCTTTAGGTATAAGTCATAATAAGCTCACTTTAAAGTTAAATTCTGATTTTGCTCAAGACATTTAGATTGAAACATTACTCGTATATAATTTATCACTATCATGTTTATAAGGTGTGTATGTTAATTTTCAAGGAAGTATTGTATGAAGTTTATATAATTTTAAATACCTCTTTGTTAGGGTATACACATTTTTTTTTTCCTTTGGTAAAATATATTTTATATGATTTAATTTATGAGAAAATTTTACTTTATATCGAGAGTAACGTCCACATTAAGCCAAGAGATAAAGCTTTTAAATCGGTAGAATAATTCCACCTTTTAATTATTTTTTTAATTGGTAATGTAAATGTATTTGTCATTACAAGTACAAGATAATATTTGCTAGGCCTTCATCAGTATTTTTTTGTACAAACTATTTGTAATATTACAAGTAATTATTTGTTACCCGTGAGTTAGACAAAGGTTATTCAGCATGTGTTTTGTTCAGTTGCTGATGGACTAATTTCTGTTTGTGGTGATGTATCTTCAGTTTGTACCTATGAACTCCATTTATTGCACTAACTACTTGCATTAGCATAACTTTTTCTAAATATATACATATATCATAAAATACACATTCCTATTTCTGCATAATATTTGTTTAATTACTTGAAATTTGAGATTTTATAAAAAGCAGCATGAACAAGTGATATTCATTTTAGTACATTTGTGGAAGAGAAAGCTATTTATTTCTTTAATTAGTAAATTCTGCATTTTATCCTCAAAATCACAGTATTGCTTCCAGCATATGAATACCTCCATGAATTGCATGATTCAGAGGAAATAAGCTTGTGAAAAGCTTAATGTGTATGAAATTTCGTTTTTGCTAAGACCATTAATTTTATTTTGTACTTGTAGAACAAGGCATGACCACTTCAGTAATTGTAAGAACTGTGTTATATGTATCTTGTCAGGATTTTTTATTATATTTACTTGTACTTACCAGTATATTCTGGCATTTGATGTAGGAAAGTGACATTTTACTTGTAAAAATGTGAGTCTTGCTCATGATCTCAAGCTTTCTTTTATATATGTTCAAAAACACAGCTGTCAGGTTAAGATTTACAAATTTATATATGTGTAGTGAAACATAATTTTAAAACTAAATGGATCTGAGACTAAAAAAGGGGTGATTAAGATTGATCATTTGGTACACTTTCAAATAATTCTGTACTTTGACCCAAGCCACTTGTTTGTGCACTGTTTTGATGGTATTAAAGATGTGTTTAATTAAAAGGACAGGTGCAAGGCTTAGGAAACTATTGTTCATTTGAAGTATTATGGTAATTATCTTGAGATACTTCTTGCAGTTTCATGCATTCTCTTAGACTTAGTCATTAGACATTTTATATATATATATAAACATCAGGAAATGAAGTAAGGGAGATAATAAAAAATTTTCTTAAATTGTTCAGTCACTTCAGTAGGTTTGTTCTTAAACTTAAGCCTGACACAAACTTTTCACAGAGCCTGCTCTAAATCTGATCACAAAATATGAGTGAAACTGTTTGAAAGACACCCTTATAAGGTTTGTGTGACCTTAGTCCTTTTTTTTCAGAAGATCAATCATATTTCTGTCCAGGAAAGATGACTGTATTGACATATCATCACTATACTAAGCCAACTTTGTGCTCAGTAATATGGTTTAGTTTTAATGGCTCTTGAATTTTGAACAGTGGCCTCCCATGTCTTTAAGTGTAACTACTAAGATATCTCATTTATTAAACATATTGATGTAGAGCTTTTAACAGTTTTAATATCCTAGTTTAAATCAGTATAATAAATAATAATGTTGGTTATAAAAGATAGAAATATTCAAGTAACATATTGCATGTAGTTTTCAACTTGTTTACAAGGTTATATATTAAATGTGGACTGAAGAATTTTGAATTGTTTTTAGTACTGATTTATAAATATTGTATATAAAAATTTTATCTGTGATTGGCTTATTTATATGTTTTTTTATAAATATTTTACATACTTTTTGATTAAGTAACAGTATTAGAAATGTTCTTTGTTTGGGGGGGGGGGTATTTATGATGATTTCTTTTACAAACATAGTTAATGTGTGGTTTTAAACAGTTTTTAGTATAGAATTAAATGGAGTAAATTTCACACAGGTTTGTGATTAATTTGCTGTGTCTAAGTAATTTTAACTTAGTTTTCATCAATATTTACTTGAACGTGATGCTAATATTTTTTTAAATATTGTTATATTTACATGTGTGATTATTGACCAACCCTCACTTCATTTTCCTAGGTTAAACCAGCTAATATTTTTTTGTTTTGTTAACAATGTGAACATATATGAAATATTGAAGAGTATGGTTTCTTGTAGTGTTTAATTTTAAAAGCTTTTTGGGGGTACTGTCCTTCAGAAATTTTATCAATTTTGGGGGATAATGACCTTCTCCAGTTTTATTAGTTTTGGGGTATAATGACCTTCTCCAATTTTATTAATTTTGGGGGATAATGACCTTCTTCGCGCTAAACAAACGCTATAACAACGAACGTGCTCAATAATACTTCTGACTGCAGATCAATTACTCACTATTTCCACACACATTACATTCCCCTCTTTTATATACCAGCCTACCCTATCTAGCAAATACTAGAGCATTCGCCAAGATACGGGATAGTTCTAGAAACAAGAGGGCTTGAGAATTGTCACGTGATCTCGATGACGCAACAGAATCATTTCACGTCACTGAAGTCTTAATTCTAATATGAATTTTATTTGCAATATGAGAAGAAACTTGGTAAAATATTTGTTACCCTTTATAATGTGTTTCTTTACTAAACTGCCTACCTTTCATTTTTAGACTAATTTAGATCTTTTAACCCCTGAGTAGCATGATATCGTAAAATAAATCACAGCTAAAACATACAATAAATAATTTCAAACTGTAAACAGTAGTACTGTTAATAGTATGGTATTTTAGTAGATCAGCATTTTTACTCTGTTGAATAAAGATTATAATAAAATGAAACAAAAAGATATGTGAAAAGTAAGACCAGTATGGTGTAAATCTGTTTTATCCTGAATAATATTCAGTTTGTTACGTATTACAATTTCGAATGGTCTGAAACCGACATATCTCCAGTTTATATTTGCCAACAAGATTGATACGTACAGTTTTTTTAATACAAATATATTTCAATACACAAACAATAATACAATTTACAATAACAGTTATTACAAACAATGATTTATACACAAAAGTTTTACAAACTTACAAGCAATATAAATTCTTCTTTCTAGTCTGGAATTTACTTTATCTTATCGAGGGTTCACGATGAGCGAGTTAAATACGAGTTGATGTAGGTATGATTCGCTTAATAGGGAGCTAACTAGCTTTGTGGGCCTCGCTGATCACACGCCGATTACAGGTCGAGCTTGAGTTTTTTACTGATGAAGGTATATAATGTCTTCGTAAAAGTACTAATGTCCGATGTGAATCCATTGAAGTTAATGGT